GAAGGCCAACACGAAGAACTGCCTCTGAGGCTCTGTGAGCAGGAGGCTGGCTACAGAACCCTGCACCAGTTTCTATCCTCATTTAAATTCCTGAACATCAGTGTCTGAAAGAAGGATCCAGATTCAACTTGTGCAAATGCAGTCTTTCTCCATCTTATGTCCCTGAGGCAGTCGGTGGATCACAAAGTAAGTGTGTATGTGTGTACATGAGTGTGTTATTTTGCCTTAGACATATTAGGTAAGTGCTCTACCACTGAGCTACATCCCTACCTCTCTAAATTCCTCTTTTTTATCAAGTCATCAGGCCATTTTGACATAAAAGGGCCATTGGTTGCACAGTGGGACATTGGGGTTCAGAACATGCTCCTTTTACCTTGGCTGAGAATCAAAGTTCCCCTAATACTGGGTATACTGATGACATGTGTGATAGCTCAGGTCCTAATTTGCAGCCCCTCTAGGTATTGACAGGTTCATGTTGTCCCTGTTGTCCCCAAGGCTTCTGGTAGCAACCAGAATGCAGGGAAGAATGCAGAACTATAGGCCAATGACCGAAGAAGGTCTAGAAACATCTGTCTAACAGCGTTGGGAGACCTAGGCCACCATGGATAAAGAACAATGACACCAATGGAAACATGGAGAGACTATACGAGATAGGAATGGTGAACAGAGTGAGCAAGGGTGAGGCAGAGACAGAGACCAGTCAGCTACCCCAGTGTCCCCGCAGCCCAGTCAACTCCAGCCAATCCACAGGACTAGCTGTCATTGTGGACCATGGTTGGATAGTGATCTGGTGCTATCGAGCTAACTTGCCCAAGTCTTGGAGACTAGCAGCCTTAAGAACTAGTAATCCACAATTTAAAGAACATAGTCCATAATAAGAATGGATCTCTGTGAGCACATTGAAAGTTTGGTCATTTTCTCCCCCCACCTCTGTTTCCTGTGGAGGCCCACAGCTGACGTCCGCTGTCTTCTTTGATAGGTCTCCATTTTACTTATTGAGTCAGGACCTCTCAGTTGAATCCCTAGCTCACCGATTGGCTAGACCAACTAGCCAGCTTCTCCTGGGGCTCCTGTGCATCTGCCATTTTGGGATTACAGGGACTGCCATGCCTAGTTGGATTTCACATGTTTGTGCAGCAAGCACTTATATCCATTGTGGCATTACCCAGCCCTCTGAAGTGTTTTGAATGGCTTGTTTGAAATACTGGACTATCGTCATTGACTCGTCAGTGACTATCTGACATGAAACACGAACTATTTCTTTGCAGCTCCATCTGTAGTCCTGGGTATTCTCTGTGGGGCTGGTCAGTAGGGATAGCATCAGTCAGGACTTAGTCAAAGAGAAGAAAGTATCCTTGTGAGCAGACGTGGAGTGGGTTAGAAAGGCTGATGGTGTAAGACTGGAAACATAGACGGGGCGTGGCATCGCAGAGACTCAGCAGCAGAGGACCCAGAGCACAGTACAGATGGCTGGAAACAGTCACCCTTGATCTGATGGGTAGGACGTGTGTGGGCGCATAGCTACTGTGCAGGAGTCCATCCTGCGTACCCCCAGAGCTGGTCCAGGCCACCCAGCCCCTACCACACTGCAGCTCACACCTACATCACACTCTGTCGAGGTAGCTCCTAGCTGTCTGCGGCACAGAAATTACCTTTAGAGAAAACTATAACTTGTTATTCTACAACCCAAGAACAGTGGGCCCCACAAGGGGGGTAGATTTGCTCCAGAGAGAACTAGAACTCCAGGCACAGTGAGTGTGATGCCCAGTAGTGGGGGAATGACAGTTCCATCCTTCCACACTCACCCCTCTCAGGAACAGAGTTTCCTGATTTGTCCCCTTTCTGTCATGAGTCCTTCTCAGGCTCTCCTTGTATTCCTTTCCTGCAGCCCACACACCTGTGCTAATGGACAGACAGCCCAGATCCTCTGCACACCTCTAGGAGACATCTGGGGCCCCAGTAGAGAGAATCTAGGCTCTGCTCAAAGTCCTAGAAGAGGCCCCTTAGAGGTGTCAAAGCAGGGCCAATGATTGATTCCTGTTGACCTTGACACTGTCCTGAAGTTCCCTATCCTTCCATATGGGATTTGGTGTGTGTGTGTGTGTGTGTGTGTGTGTGTGTGTCCATGTTCCTTTCAGGAAGCCTAGTCCATGCACAGCACAGGTGGAATTGATCATGAATTTTACATCTAAGAGACTTTCCAAAGGTGGGGCTGTGAGATGCAAGAAGAAAACCTTGGAAGAACCAGATTTCTTTTAAAAAGTTCTTCCCTCCCTGTTGTGAGTGCCAGGTGAGTTAGGAAGTGGCCTCTCTATACTTACTACAGAGACAAGTATTCAGACTCGGAGGAAAGTCCTTTGATGAAGCACAAATGGGAAGAGAAAGGAAGACATTGTGGACAGTTTGACAACACACCATGATGAGACACAATGAACACACACAGCCAGTGGAGAGGAAGGGGGACATCCACTTGGAGCGCTGGCCTCAAGCAGATTGGTTTTCTCCAGCAAGGCTAGGTTTATACTCAAGGCAGTGGTTGGCTTGGGGAAGAAGCTCAGGGTGGAGGTGCTACCAGAGTCACACATGTGACCATTCACTGAGGAAGGGGAGCCCAGCAGCCCTGCAGAGGCTATTCTCTGGGTTGAAGGGTACCCTCTTTGGTGGAGTTTCTCAGGGGATCCAGTGGAGCAGCTTGGAGGTGGTAAGGGACTACACAATATTGTCACTATGTGTGCCTTAATCATAATTAGGGCCTATGTTCAAATTATGCTCTTAGTCCTTCAAAGTATGCTGTCATTCATCAACACTCCCTTAGACACAGAAAGACTGTGACAAGGGAAAACACTGATAATTCCATTTGACACACAGAGAAATTGAGGCACAGATAGGAATCTCTGAATTTAGAAAACTAACAGTTTGGTTGGGCCTGGAATTCTAATGTCTAAACTAGTGCCTCTCTAATGACACTGTTTTCAACTGGTTCACATTTTAGATGGCCCAAGAGAAAGGCTGACAGTGGGCTCCAGGCAGCAGATACATCTAAGTTCACCAGGGGATTCCAACACACAGTCAAGACTGACTGTGACACCATTAGGTGTCTCTCTCCTGAGAAATGCACAGTCTCAGGCACCATCTCAGACCCAATAGAGCAGAGCCTCCTCTTTAAAGAGATCCTCCCAACATCAGCACCTGAGGACCAGATGGGACAACCGGCCATCTGGGGGAGGGGGACAACCTGCCATCTGGGGTGGGGAGGCTATGGGTCAGTCCTTTACCTCTGCTTGGCAGGGCTTTGTCTACATCAGCATAGTTCACTAGTAAGACAAATTGAATCTTGAACAGATTACCTAGAACTGTCAGAGAAGAGGTGTTTCCCCATGGGAGTGAGGCTGCCCTCCCCGTGACAAGCCCCTACCAACTAACAGCAGTTCTCTACACTGTACAGACCACCCTGTCTTCCACACAGGCATCTGTTGAAGCCTGTTCAGCTCCACTCACCGTCCGAAGCCTTGGAAGGAGAGACCGCTGGGCTCTTGGTCCCTGCTTTCGTTGGGCTCTGCACTGGAGACGCAGTTGTGGACTTTACAGGTGAACCAGGCTCTTCTGTGGCTGTGTCCTTCTCCCCTGAAGAAAACAGACACTTATCTTAGCACACAAGTCACAGAGAGACAAGAGGGGTGGGACAAATGTGAAACCCAGTGCTTTTCTACTTAGTCACTTCTGGCTAGAGTTATTGGGCCCTCCTTAGCTCTAGTTTACCTCTGCTCCTTCCGGGGGAGGCCAAAAGGGGGAAATCAGAGTACTGCTATGTCTCAAGGGCTGCTCCCATGAGAAAGTATGGTGGCAGGAGAGTAACATGTGCAGACAAGCACCTGGTGCTGCAGGTGTTGCTGAAACACGCACAGATGGAAGCAGAGGCCCCACCGCTGGCTCTCCTTAGGGTCACCTGGGACTTGTTTGCAGTAGCTAGTTCACCAGTTAACTCAGCTAGATCACAACTTTCTGTACAATCTCAACAATAGTCTTTTATTTTTCCAGTTGGCATGTTTTAACTCTACTAAAGGCAGGAAGAGATACTTGAGAAAATATCTAACCCTCAGTGAGACAAGGTGCTAGTGGAGGGCCCCACTCCCGCCCCTGGTAAGTGGGCTGCAGGCCCCAAGTGCTCTTGAAGCAAGGAGAAGAGACAGCTCCTTTGGGCAGAGTGGAAAGGGCGAGAGGCTGCCTTCCTAAGTAGGGAGAGATTTGAGATAGAGTCTGAGGTGTGAATGACTTGGTTCAGGCTAGCTCAGAAAGAAACAAAGCATAGCCCAGCACATCAAGATACCGGAAGTTTCAACACAGAAGGACCAGCCAAACTCAAGACTCTGATCAAAAGCTCGATTCTAAAATACTTTACGAGTACTAACTCCTTCATAGCCAGTGAGCAGGCCAGTGAGATCACGAAGGTGACTGTGTAACTATGAGGTGCTGGATCATGTTTAACTGTATTCTGCTAGCAGCAGTGCTATTTGGTGATGGGGCAGGAAGGTCCTCATTGGGGTCTGAGTTCTCTGTAGGCTGGCAGATCCTGCAGCTATGGCTCACACGGGTTTACCTTCCTGCTCCTGTTCTAGTTTCTTCCTTTCCACCTCCTTCTTGTATTCCTCCAGCTCCTGGTCAGTGAGTTGGCTGAAGGGGTTGGGCACGGTCTCCTCTGATTCATCTTTGGTATCTGCATCGCCCTTGGACATCAGCTGGCTCTCTGTAGACTGAAAGTTAACCAAAGTGTGTGTTGCTCTCTGACCGCTGTGCTGGGGCCCAAGCTGGAGCTTCTCTCAAGTGGCAGTCAGCTGTCTTGCTAGAGAGGTGACATGTAGCTCCTCGGAACCAAGCCTGGGGCCTCGGGTGGGGGTTGCTCGTTCTCACCATTGCTATAGCCTCCCAAAACTTAGACTCTGCACCTGTCCTGGTAAATATAGGGGTCCACCCTTTGCCCTTGAAATGAAATAAAAAGATGCTCCCAAGCAGAAGACATACCTTTATTGCATTCCCATCTATGGACACATCCAAGCCATGACTGTGCATACATTTGATGGCCCAAAGTCAGTCAGACAAAGTCTAGCAAGCATAGCATTGGCTAGATAGAGCAAGCAGCATGCCAGCCCTCTCCCAGACTGTCCCTCCCTGCTCCCCAACAGCAGCACAAGCCTCAGCACACAGCATTAAAACAACAAGATACAAGGGCTTCAGCATTCTCAGTCCAAGCAGTGAATCCTGGAGTCATGGTGACCAAGAGGCCAGACCCTGCATCTAGGATCTTCAGCTGCCTGTTCTGCAGGCCATGGCAGGGGCACTGACAGAACCTCTGTTTTGTACCTCAGTTGAGCCCCTGGATATGAATCATCTGGTCCCTCTTTCTCAATGGAGGACTGAACCACAGACCTAGATGTCCTTTTCCTAAGTCAGTGACCTCACTGCAGCCCATCCGAAGACATCACTTACTCTCAAGGGAGGAGAGCAGAGTGAGACCTCAAGGAGGTGAGCCCAGAGCAACCAGGGTTTCTGGTCACTGCTTATGGGCTTCACTCATTCGGAAGTGACCATAGGCGTATCGCAACAGGTTTCAGAGTCAAAGGTGAGTCTAAGATAGATCCCAAGGAGCACGAGGGACTTGACTGAGAGCTCCTGCTGTGAAGGACAGAGCTGCTTTTGGACAACCTTGCTCTGTGCTCATTTTCCATCCCTCTGGGATCACAGGCCATTTCTAACCTCGACCTATGGCGTGCTCAGAGTTCACTGACTTGGCTGAGTTGGGGGAGGTCAGGAGGCAGATGTGAGGGTGCGACCTGCTGCTGCCTGACCTGCAACCATATCACATTAACACGCTCTACAGAGAATAATGGGCCCTGGCCCATCCCATTAGCCTCTGTCTAGGAATGTCACACCCTTTGCCACAAGCCATGAATAGCCACAATGCCACACAAGGCAGAATTGCAATGCCATCTGCTACTAAGCCCTAGACAAGATACCATCCCATCAAACACAGAAACAGTGACATCATGCTTTCTAACTCTAACTATGTTTGTATGGCTACTCTTTACCCTTCCCATCCCATAGCACAGCAGTCCTAGCCACAGCCTCCCTCACTGTATTGTGATGATGCTACATCCAACCCAGGGGCCAGAAACACTTTGGGCACCAGAATTCAGCAGGACCCTGAGAGAAGACTTCATGAAGTCCCATGTTAGGGGGTGTGGGGCCGGTCAGAGGCCTTCCCATGAACACATAGGCTGCTCCTTGATGCTAACTATCCAGCACACCCAGGAGCGAGCCAACATCATCCTCCCTGGACCTCACAGCCACCTGTGTGGTGGCCCTTCACTATGCAGCAATAGCCCAGCACCTAAGATCATGGGGTGAGTGGGCCTGAGGACTCAGGGGTCCCCTGCTCAGCCCCAGGAGTCTGATACACTTCCCCTTCGGTTGGGGGCAGTCTCTGCTGTACCGGACTCCGGCTCTTCTCGGCGATGACGCTGGCCAAGAGCTGAGACTGAGGCCCTGCTGACTTTATGTCTTGTCGGTTTTGCTCTCGAATCTGTGTGGAAAGGGGAGAAAAGGGGGTCAGAGCATGGAGGGGCTCTCTGGTGTCCAGCGAGGCTTATGATGAGTCTGACAAGGTCCTTTATGGTCAGCAGCCTATCCTCTCTGCTCTAATGTAATCTGCCATCCTGAGGGCTGCCTCCATACCTGGCCTGGAGCAACTCTGAGCTCACAAATGGCCACTCTGTGGACATGTCTTTTAGAGATACCTAATGTGTAAAGCAAGTGCCCTGCTCCATAAGTGGGTTACAGAGGACCACAGGACCTGTTAAGTCCTGCATGAGGCACCGAGCTCAGGATGGAATCCATACACAGACTCACACCAGGGGTACTGCTAATGAGGTCCCCTAACCCAGGATCTCGGCTTGCACTTCTGGGACCCCATACTCCTTCAGAAAATCAGATAGAAGAGCAGGCTCACCTTGTTTCTCATGTCCAGCACTTCTTGGGGGTCAGTGTAGAGAGGCACAAATTGGTTTGGGTTTTCGATCCGTATGGGCATGCCACTGCTGGACTTTTCCACTTCATCAGCCTTCATCCACTGACAAGGCAAGTAAGGAGTTGGGCATGGGCCACCTGGTGCCCCTCCCACTGGGTGCCCCACCCACCAGCATGAAACATCCACAAGTCACTCAGAGTTGTTCCCTCTTGGGTCAGAACCAAAATGAATGATAGATAATTCAGACGTCAAGGAAGGCCGGTGGGCCATTAAAAAACAAACAAACAAACAAACAAACACCAGAGAGCAGGGAGCAGGGGCTGAAGCTTGGGCAGGCTGCCAGTGAGCTCCAGTTTCAGCTAACTGGATTTGCATTTGGTGGAGTCCTATTCTGACTGACTGTGCCCACGTTTTTTGTTAATGAAAGATCAAATAAAGTTGGCCCAGGAGAGATAGCCCAGTGGTTATAGCACCTGCCATTCAAGCACAAGGAGCTGTGTGGATCCCCAGGAACCTGGATGGGTGTGGTGGTTCACCCATAACTCAGAATTGAGTCTAACCATATCAGCAAGCTATAGGCTTATTCAATATAGAAGAGCTGTTGTGCCGGGCAGTGGTGGCACACGCCTTTAATCCCAGCACTTAGGAGGCAGAGGCAGGCAGATTTCTGAGTTCGAGGCCAGCCTGGTCTACAGAGTGAGTTCCAGGACAACCAGAGCCGCCCAGAGAAACCCTGTCTCGAAACCCCTCCCCAAAAAGAAGAAGAAGAAGAAGAAGAAGAAGAAGAAGAAGAAGAAGAACTGTTGAAGGTGATTCCATATATCAACCTGAATCACATACATGTGAACCCATGCCAAGAAAAAAAAAAGTCCATTTATCTGTGCAAAATAGGAAAGAGAAAAAAAAATCAAATGGAGATCTGTGTGAGTGAGGAGAAAGAAAGACTGGCCTATCCTTCGGGGTTTGTGTCAGACCCCAGGCCCAGGATACAGCATGTCTCCTGGGAATTTTCCAAAGCCCTGTGAGTGTGGTGTGAAACACAGACCCAGTCTCTCCTGAATCTATGGTCATGGAAGTGGCCCAGTCCTGTCACTCTCTGGAAAAATCTGTTCCTCATGCCTCAAACTTCGATACAGCGGACAAGAAAGAAGTGTTAGGGACCCTGGGGCCTGAGCACAGCATCCAGGAACATGGAAGAAGACCATGTGACTTTCTCCCTGTCAATGCTACCCACCCCACCCAGGCGGGCCCAACCTCCGTCTTACCGTGGTCTTGGGTCGGGGACTGCCCATGTTCCTCTGCACCTCGTCGGCCACGTTCACCCGCAGGTAGGTGTTGGGAGTGTTAAGCCAGCGGGTCTTTTCCTTCTGCTGCTTCTGGGCATGCTGGCGCAGGGCAGGGACTGGGACACCATCCTCTTCGAACACAAAGGCAGTGACTGTGGCTGGGATCTCCACTTCGCTTTTGTGTTTGGTTTTCTCTTGGACAAAGGGGTGGCGGTATGTATAGCCTGTTCTGTAGCCCTGAGAGAACAGAACCAGAACTGGGTGTTGTGGAGGACAGGGGTCCACACCTGGACTTGGTTCAACTCCAAATATCCACCAGACAACTGAGCAGTCAGGTAGGCCTAGGTTACAGGGTTGAGATGGGCCTAGCTGCTCAGGCTTGTCATCCCAATTGCTCAGGAAGCTGAGGCAGGAGCATGGCAAGTTCAAGGCCTGCCTGGACTATAGAGCAAGCTCAAGGCTAGCTGGGTAACTTATTGAGCCTAGGTCTCAAAATAAAGTGTGAACAAAAAGGCTGGGCAGTATAGCTCCTTGGTAAAATGCTTGCTTGGTACATGTAAAACCTTGAGTTTAATCCCTGGCACACAAAATTTTAAAAAATAATGAGGCCTGCTTAATGCTCATGACTTTGATGAATGTGTAAGTAGTATTGCTTTCGATGATGAAGATGATGATGATGCATACTTTTGCAGTCCGGGGCCTGGTATATCATGCCAGACCAGACACCTATACTGATCTATACCTCCAGTATCCAATGTGTTTTCAAAGTAGCTAACATTAACATACAAATAATAGATTTAAAATCATAAGTGTGTGTGTCTTTATGTACACATGCATGTGTGTGCATGCATGTATGTGTATTTACGAGTCATAAAACTGGAAAGGGGATCACGAGCAGGGGAGAGGGACATCTTACAGAAGCAAGATACAGAGAGTGATGTATGACGCCACGTGAGAGCAGAGAGTGATGTATGACGCCACGTGAGAGCAGAGGCGGGAACTGAGAGATGGATGAGGAACAACTGGAGGGACAATGGCTGGGCCAGCAGCCGGATGGGAGGAGTGAGAACAGAGGAGAAGGCTATAGATGTATGAAGTTGCCGTGAGGAAACCCATGCTGCCTTACACATTAGTTTTAAACAATATCAAAATACTCATGGTAGTAAATTGCCCTTGAATCGTGGCAGCAAACCCTGACGCTGTACAGAGCTGGCGGAAGCTCTGCTCAGTCATGGCACCTTTCGTCGACATTCACAGTGAAATCTGTTAGTTCACAGAACGCTCCTTTCTCCCTTCTCTGAAACTTTAAATAGAATTGTCTGCTTCTCTCAAAGCTTTGAAACAATTACTGTAGGAAGCTACCCGCCAAGGCCTGGTGCGTCATCTGGGGGCAATGACTCAGCACACAGTGCCTGGAGTCCCCCCTCACCACCAAAGGCACACTCATCACTGCAAAGCCATCTTCATGGTCACCCTAGCAACAGGGTGAAAAATGATTTGGAGGTGCTGAAAGGAGGGAAAGTATTAATTATTGCAATGGCCTTGCCATGGTTGGGTCAAGTGGCCTTGAGGGTGAAGAAAGGGAATCGAGCAGGACTGTTCTGAAGACAGGTTTCATTTCTCACCTCTCTGAACTCGATCCTCACTGTATCCCTCCCCTACCTCTTGTGCCTGAAGCATCTCCTCTGATTTTCCATATTATCAACCCAATCATTAGCTCCAAGGAGTAAGAGGCTACCCTTTTGTATCCGTTAATGAACCATCCTGTCTAATTCCTTATGGACCGGTTCATTCATTCACTGCAATAGAATAACTAGCGTTGATGCTTGGAATAAGGGAGCTAGCTGTGTGATGAGCTTTCAGTATTGAAGCTGTGACATTAGGGATGAGCAGGACCAATTCCAGGGGAGAAGTGGGCTAGTGGATATAGGATGATGGTGATGGACTGTGGGCATGAGGACAGGTGCTCTGACTTCTCTGGACTTCCCATGGAGAGCACGGGCAGACATGAGGATGTCTCAGCACTTAGCAGAGGAAGGGAAAGCAAGTACTGGAGAAAGTGCAGCTATTGTTCAAGTGAACACAAACTCAGAGGCCTTCACTTAACTAAACCATGACAGAGGTGGTTCTGTGCATCCCCAGTGCTTTCAGACGTCTGGCTGTGGGGGCTCAGCCTCCATGGAGCGGTCTGAAGGACAGCACCAAGACACTCACTAAGTTGTCCAGCATCCTCATGAGGGCTTCAAATTCGTGCTCTCCCAGCCGGCTCTTCTGCATGGGCCCAAAGGTGCTGCCGGCCCACTGCACAGAGCCCACTTCATGCGGCCGGTGTTTCTCTTGCTCCAGGAGGATGAGGTTCTCAGTGCCCCCAGCACTGGACAGAGCTGACACCTGCAGAGAATCAGATGGGTGTACGGAGTCCTTGAAACTGCTGTGGTGTGTACCCGAGGGCAGTGGCGTCACAGAGAACTCGGGATCCAGAAAGGCCTAGGAAACTTGAGGAAAATGTCTGAACACTTGGAGAGCGTGTATTCACTGTCATGGAGCACAGTATCATTAATTCCTCCTCCAGCTCAGTTCCCAGAGAACCCAGAGAGGAAGAAATAACAAGAGTTAGAACCCAGGAATGAAACAGCACAGAGGACTGAATGTTCATTATCTGGTATACAACACACCAGAGGAGAAAAATGGTACCCAGGATGTTGCACCCTAGAGAACTAAATGGTACCTAGGTCATAATGCCTCAGAGAAGAAGAGGAGGCAGTGCAGGTGGCTTCAGGCAGCACAGTTAATGATGAGGACAGAGGTATGGGTACAATGTGGGCAATTTAGACTAACCCTAAAAGCATCCCCACATTTTGCCTCCATTCCCAATTTGCATCCCTACCATTCAGATGTCCTTAGTCAGGTTTGGATTTCAGGAAGAAAGTGGTAGATCTAAGCCATGTCACCACAGCAATGTGTTCACACCCTCACATCCGAGGAGACTGATGTCCGCACACAAACTCACTTATCAGAGCCATGCTCTGAGGATCTAATCTGCGGTGTCTGACGTCTCAAGATGGGTTGGGAGTGTGGCTTGTGGTTTTGGTGGTGTTTGTTTTGACCACAGATACAAGGATCCATTTAGTTTACTGACAGATGCAGGCATATGAGCTCTGAGCATCTAGGCTGCATCTTGAATACATGGCATTCTCCTGCACCAAAAGACAGACCTAACCCTGCTTCTTGGAGGTCAGCTCGTCAGACTTACTCAGGTGAGCCTCATCACCCTGGGACAGGAGACACCACAACACTTTCCAGTGCCTTGGTACTCAGGATATATATCCTGAGTCTTTAACCGTCCCATTGCCCCCTGCTGCCCTGGAGAGACAGTGCTACGGTGTGTGTATGGTGTGGACCTGGGTGGGTACCAGGCTGGCTGGATGTTACACCACCTCCTCACTGTATGACTGTGGGCAGCTGTTTACCATCTTTGTGTTCAGTTTCCACATCAAGTAAAAATGGCAATGCCCTACCTTGTGAGGAATCTCTTAAGGTGATATGGGAAAGTATCTAGAATGTTCTGGAGCCTCAGGAGCACCACATGGATGATGCTTCTAATTTAACACTCAGATAATGAGAGGCAGCCACCCTGGGACTGTTTGTTAATGGAGAAGGAAGTAGGGAGACAGCACCCACAGCCTTGCCTAAGCTGCCCTCTTCCATCTCTTCCTCCAGCAGTTTCCATGGTGATGGGTAGCAGATGGGGAAGAACTGCCTGTGCCTCCCATCTGCCTCTCAGTGAGGGATGACCCACTTTTTCCAGAACTCCAAACCGATAGGCAAAGAATACACTGTGCCTAGGAGGGCAGGGCAAGAGCCTGGGCTGAGACCACAGGCATAGCCACAGTCACATTCACCTGTCCACCGAGGTCACTGAGGGTGGAAACAGGGCCCACGGCAGACATGGAGCTTCAGAGCTGGATACCAGAGTGCAATCCTGACAGTAGCTGCAGGCCATGGCCCTGCGCTCTCTTATGCCTTAGTCTTTGCTTCTGCTCTTCCATGCCTTCTAGACCATCCCCTTCCTCTAGAAGCCTCTCCATCTGTAAAACTGATAAGAAATCACCAGCACTTTCCTGGGTTGGTTGCCAGAGGGACCTGGGAGAGCAAAGACACACGTCAAACCAGTCCTGAGCAAAACGTGACAGCAGCCAGGAGGCTTACGGACCAGAACTAACAGCTCTGTCCTATGGCTGCAGGTCAGAGGGTTAAACTGCCCAGGGCCACTTTTGAGGTCTGAAATGGGAGGAGATGCTTCACTGTGGACCTGCAGGGGACACAGCAGTGACTCTCCATCTGTGCAGAGCACTGAGATATCTCTGCACAGAAGAGCTTTTCCTGTGTGCTGTTTTCTCATGGAAGCCTCTGCAAAGGTGTGTTAAAGAACCCGTTGCAGTTCAGTGTGAGGAAAGGCAGGGTCTTCCCTTGATGTTGAAGGCTAAGCCAGTTCTGATGGCAGTCAGTAGCCAGACAAGACAGCATTCTTAGCTGAGGGAAATGGTGTCACATCAGAGACATGGCCTGGATCCAGGTCTCAAGGTCTAATTCTGAGCACTGCTGTTTCCTGGGAGCCTCTGCGTTCCACACATTTATTCATCTCCAGATTGACCACCTTCTCTGCAGCACTCTACTGTAAGGATACCACAGGGCTCCTCCACATCCCTCATCCTGCAGGGCTGATCTCACCCCAAGTGACACTGAGGGAGGGAGTGACTTTCCTTCAGTGCTGTTCTGCCTGGCCAGCCAGAGTGGGGCAGGAGGACACCACATGGGATTTGCAGAGAGCTGGCTCATCCTAGAACTGCAGCCTCTATAGTGTCACCACCCCTCCTAGCCTGGAGAGGTCATTCCTCTCAGCCAGCTTTGATTCGTGCCAACATGGAGACAATGGGCTTGTAGAGGGCACATCTCTGCCCCAAAGGTAGACAGCCATGGCTGGAGCTGGTGGGACTGAGAGAGCTGGGCTGTGAATCTATCCAGGGCTGGATAAGCACACCCCTTATCCCACTAGCTCGGACACCACAGGGTGAATGCTGACCTCACCACAGAGCTTTCCTGTTGCTCTAGGGGTTCCATAGTCATTGACACACCCCAACTAACCGTACCTTCCCAGTGAGGGCTGGGAGATGAGCTGGCTCCCTGTATACCTTTAGAGGTATCTTGGCTATTCCGGTTGCCATGACAACACTGAATGGCTCTCTATCACTCCTCTTTCCATGCCTGACCACATTCCCTGCCCATGTACAGCTTGTCCCCATCCCAACCCACTCCTTGGTGAAACAAGAGCACCTTTCTCTGTGTCCCCTAGTACAGCTTGGTGAAACAGCCAAGATGACACAGGTGTGCTAGGGCTTCTGTGTGCCTTGTGATGGTTTCCCCAAACCTGAACTCAGGTTCCCTAGATCTGGGCAGTGCCAATCAGATGTGATAGATTTTTCCAGAGTATGGATCCCATTGTAAGCAGGAAACAGCAGGAGTATAAGGAAGGCAATGGCAGGCAGGTGATAAAGCAGTTTAGGGGGCCAGGACCCCGTCTGATAGCTAACAGGGCCCACAGTTCCCAGGGCCTCCATCAAAGCCAGTTCCCGAGTTCACTTCCCAGGACACCTTGCATACCTGTACTTCACATGCAGCCTGCAGGTGGAAGACCTTGTAGAAAGCTTCCTCCACGGTGTCACCCAGGGCGACCATGCCATGGTTTCTTAGCACCAGAATCTGTGAAGGAGAAAAGAACCAGTCAAACCCAAGTCTTTGAAACTCTCCCCACTACCCCACCCCTGCCACCAAGATGGCTCCAGGGAGCAAGGTGTCAGTCACCAAGTCTGAAAACCTGAGTTCAATCCCTGGAACCCACAAGGTAGAAGGAGAGAACTGATTCCTGCAGATTATCCTCTGAACTCCATGTGAGCCATGGCAGCTTAAACTAACTCCCCCACCCCAACGTCCCCATAAACACAAGCTAAATGAATAAATAAAACTATATAATAAAAGCAACCTTAAAAAATGTTTGACTCCTAAGAAATTTTCATCTTACTAAGACCACCTCCTTACCCCAGCCTGGAGCCCCTCCACAAGCTCACTGCTCTTCCTCTGTAATCAAGAACCCCACTACTAACCTAAGGGTGATTTGAGTCCAGTGCACCCAACTGCAGGAGATAGAAAAGGCATTTTAAACTGATTTGGTGCAGCTTGAGTGACTGATTTGGGCAATGCTTTGTTGCCTTAGAGACTGAAGAAGTCTGCAAAGACGGAGTGTTAGGTGAGCACATTTGATGCTTAGTAAATGGCTTAGACCTCAAAAGGAACCTCTGTCAGTAATTTAGCTGCCGTTGGTCCATCCAGGAGGACACACTCTGAGGAGAGGCCCTGCAGAGACAGGCAGCCATAATACCATGTCTCTGGACCTCTGGGTTCTGCTCCACAGACTTGGCTCCAACATCCACAGCTTACTTCAAATCAGTTTCAAACGAGGAAAGAGAAATTAGGAGAACTAGAAAGTCTCCTGGCCAACTGAAGGCAGACTCTGGATCAGACCTGGGGTTCTCAGGGGAAACAGTTTCTGTTTTGTCAGTGGCAGCCAATAAAAAGGGTGAAGAGACCCTTCCCTGAAAGAAATACTCACGGTTGGTTTTACCCTCAGCAAATTAGAAATCAGGCAAAGGAAGCTGAGTGGGAGCTGAGACAAAGATCTATGCATTCAAGCTTCCCTGCAGAGGGCGGTGGCTCAGACTCACAGCACCACATCCTCCCTAAGAATAGATGAAGTTCTTTCCTCTCTAATGCCAGAGACTTAGAAGGAGCTCAGAGTTTAAGAGCATAAACAGAAGCACCCAGAACATCCCCTCTTAGATTGCCACAGCTTACATAGGTGTGCTATTAACTAACACTGCTGAGGACACCCTGGGGCTGCTGGGGCAGAAGTAGCAGCAGGGTTCCTCCCCAAAATAGAGATGGGGAGGCAGGGGCTCAGAAGTGAGGCTCTGTCTTAAAAATTCTTCTTCAGTCACATGTGCTAGTAGGAGACTGTGCTTAGACTTAAGACAAGCAACACTGCAGCTCTGCTCTCCTTTAACTAGCTGGTAACTAAGAAGTGGAATTAGTTGATTAGTTACTATAGCGCTCAGATCTGGGGAGACTATAGAGAAATAGTCCATATATTAGACATGGGGAAGAAAGCAGAAGGGACAACGCTCGTGGGAGGCAACTGGGCAAGATGAAGTCAGACTTAAAAATTATGTCCCCTAGAAGTGTCTAAGGGAGCCTCCTCGAGCCCAGAGGATTAGCTGGAGGGATTTCTGCCTGGGGGTGTGAGGTGGGGTGGAAAGCAACCCCTGGAAGGTTCAACTACAGGGGACTGCTGGGGGGGGGGAAATTACAGCTATGCCTAAATGAGGTATGACTTAGTAATCCGAGTGACGGAGCAAACAGTGACATACAACGTCATTTTGTGTGCATTGCTAGGAGAGGGAGAGCTGATTTTCTGGTTTTATAAACAAATGTGAAAAGCCTTAGAGAATGGATCAACATCTCAGAGCAGTGTGGGAGAAGTGGCTTTAAAAATGTTCTTTCTAAAATAAAAAATCATCTGTAAAATTTGGAGGCTAGAGAGATGGCTCAGCTGTTCAGAGTGCCTTCTGCTCCTGTAGAGGACGCAGGTTTGGGTCTGAGCATTTCTATCAGGCTGCTTACAGTCACCTGCAACTCCAGCTCCAGGGATATGACGCCCCCTTCTGGCCTCCACATGCATTGCACATATACAAATACATCTTTAAAAATGTCTACAAAACAAATATTCTCCAATAAATACGTGATGCCTTTGTGATGGTAATGCAATCTCTGTGTGTCTGTCTGTGTGTATCTCTCTCCCCATCCCCGTGTGTGTGTGTGTGTGTGTGTGTGTGTGTGTGTGTGGTGATCCAGAGGTGAACACTGTGCATGTTCCTCAATTGCTCCCCACCCTGGAGCTCACTGATACACTCAAACTCACCGGCCACACAAACCCCAGGGATATACCTCCCAGCACTGGGGTTATAGGTACCGAACTGCCACACCCAGTTTTTTTATGTGGGTACTGGAGATGGAACTGAGGCCCTGTACAGAAAGCTCTTTACCCTTTGGGCTGTCTCCTCCAGTCCTGTGACATCAGCATTTGACAGTACCATTCCACAGCACCACCCCCACCCCCCAGAAACAAACCTTGCAGGTGGGTCCAAGGCACTTCTGCAAGTTGATTCGATCAGCTTCCTGCTCCATTTCCCCATTGAAGTCATAGTAGGCCATGTCCCCCACCAGCAGGGCATTATGGGAGACAGGCAGGAGGCCACATTTCATAGCTGACACCTACAGGGAAACAATAGTTGCCTAGCAACTGCAACCCAGGCTGGAGGTTTGGGAGGTAGGGGGTAGGGTGGGGGGTGCACTGCCCCTCTCTCCTCAGAGCACAGCAGGCCAGCCCTGCTCTGGGGCCAGGGAGTATGGGATGGTCATAGGGAGGAAGAAGCCTGCACCACCCAGGCCTTTCTCTGCAGGCTTCTCATCCTCTTGCACATCACTCCAAGGCTGTGAGGACTACTGGGCAGAGCTCTCCAAGGAGGGTCCTGGCACAGTCCCAGTTTCGTTCTCATCTGTGACTGAGAGGAGGCAGGATTGGCAAAAATGTTTTCCCCCATTCTTCTCTGGTACAGGATGAGTGCAAGGACCCAGCACTAAAACTTGTGCTTGCTTTATGTCAACTCCTGACATAAGCTGGAGCCACTTTAGCAGAGAGAGCATCAATTAAGAAAATGCTCCCACCAGGTTGGCCCTTGGGCAAGGCTGTGGGCTGTTTTCTTTTTTGATGACTGATGTGGGAGGCCCAGCTCACTGTGGCTGGTGACACTCTGAGGTTGGTGGCCCTGGATGCTATAAAGAACGCAGGCAGAGCAAGCTCTGGGGACCTCCATGGCCTCTGCATCAATTTCTGCCTCCAGGTTCCTGCCCTGGTTCTCACTCTGACTTCTCTGAATGACGGATTGCAAATTTAAGATAAAACCAGCTCTGGGCTCTCGGTTGACTCTGGCCACTGTGTGTTACCAACACACCAGAAAAGTAAACCTATTCATCTCTCACTGAAAACAAATAGCATGGTGAGGTGCTGATCTTGCCTTCCTGATCTTGCCTCACTTCCCCAAATCAGCCCGAGACTGCAAAGAGCCTCAACACAAACACACCATGGCATCTTGGTCCGAATTCAAAAAAGTCTATACCCCATGACCTGTGTGTTTCCCTCAGAAATCAGGGTGATGCCATGTGCTTTGCCCCAACAGGTCTGGTGCCAGCAGAGGATGACAGCTAAGGCAATGCCCCATGTCTACTGTTTCTCCAAGTGACACTGCAGCATCCTCCACACACATGGAGAGGTGTCCTCGGTACTACCTGTGACCTGTAATCATTCCCTCTCCCCCAGTTTTACTGTACCCTTCCCAGATCTCCGCTGCCCAGAACTATAGAGAAGTCTGCAGGCTTACTTCCCACTGGCTTACTGTCCTCCCGTCTGAAGGTCTAGGTCGTGTGGGGACAGGGCAGCCTGAAGCTCAACCACATTGACTTGGGTGGACACTCAGGAGGTGCAGTTGCCTGGCTGAGTTCCCAGCTGCGGCCACAGCAGAGGGGACTCTGTGAAATACACGTTCCCCTCCTTCACACTTCACCAAGACCTTGGTACATGAAAAGAGGCCTGAGAATTCACTCCTAAGCTGAGAATTCACTCTCTTGGCCTGAGTTCCAGATCTTTCCAAAATTTTTATCTTTTATCATTATTTTATTTTTTATTTTAGGTGTATGAGTTTTGCCTTCATGTTTGTCTGTGTATCACGTGCATGCAGTATCTGCAAAGGCCAGAACAGAGGGTGTCACATTTCCTGGGACTAGGGTTACAGATGGCTGTGAGTAGCCATGTGGCTGTTGAGAATGGAACCAAGGTCCTCTGGAAGAGAAGCTCTTAACTACTGAGCCATGTCTCTGCCCCCTTTCCAGAATTTTTAAGTGATGACATTGCTATACTCCAGATGATATCTGCTCAGGGGGAAACAGGTGCTCTGGGCTGGCTGACACAGGAAGCCTGGCACTACTCACCGCTGCTGTGGCAGGCGTGTGCAGGTGGATGGCACACCGCACGTCGGGCCTGGCGGCATAGATGGCTGAGTGCAGACCGAAGCCTGTGGTGTCCACTGGGAAGCAACTGCTGCCCTTCTCAACCACCTCTCCCAGAATGTTCACCTTAATCTAGGCAGTAAAGAAGAAACCAGACTCAGGGCTCCTGCCCTCATTCACACATGGACCCAATACATTCCCTGGTCCATGTCTACCACTCCAGATGACAGGAGTAATGGCTGGCCTTGGTGTTGGGGTACAGCAACAGGGAGTCCTGGCTGTGGTGAGTCTTAAGGGGTGGCAGGTGGATTCTGCAGGGTAAGTGGTGGGGCAGTTTCTCAGGCTTTGTTATGCATTGTTTTAGAAGCTGTCAAAATAGATTCTAAACATAGAGAAAACAACACTTGTAGCAATTTCCCAAATGATGTCCAGGCTGTGGTTCACAGACCCCACTCTGAGTAGTGAGCTAGAAGAGAGTCAGTGAAAGAATCCTCTAGAAGCAGCTACGAGGAATCCTGAACGCATGCAGAAACCTTCCCGGAGGAGGAAGATGTCTGAGCTGAGCCGTCTCATGTGTGAAATATCTTAGTCCACAAAGGCAAAGAGAATGACACACTCAACACCTTTCACCGTCACAGAAAAGGGACCAACAGAAAGAGGTCACTTTCTTAGCCTGTTTTCTACTCCAAGAGACAAGCAGGTGGCTTGCTAGGAAATGTCACACACAATATGTGCATAAAGGAAGCGCAAGGGAGAATGGAGTGGGAGCAGGAAGGGGTGTGGAGGGGTAGATGGGGGGGGTGAGGAGAGTGGGAGAGAGTGAGAGAGTAAGTGAGTAAAAAAGACAGAGAAAGACACACACAGTGAGTGCTGGTGGGAGAAGGAGCACATACATGTATGCATGTGTATATGTGCTTGCACATTTGCACACACACACACACACACACACAGAGAATGTTGCTATGGGCTGGCTACGGTGTTCCTACTTAACAAATAGACTCACAAAGCACCAACATTGCAGAAGGGCTTTTGGTGACTGGTACAAGACAAGTGACCTTCTGCATAGAAGAGGTAAGATGTTTGTACTCAAGGTGCCCCCACCACCCTTCCCAGCACACTGCAAGGCCCACCCCTCAAAGACCCAAAGCACCCAACACAAACCTGAATTCTGAGGCAAGAGCTTCCTAACCCAGGGGTTCTCAAGCTTCCTAATGCTGTGACCCTCTAACACAGTTCTCCATGTTGCGGTGATCCCCAGCCATAAGATTATTTTGCTGCTACTTCATAAATGCAATTTTGCAACTGTCAGTGAATTGCAGTGCAAATATCTGATATGCAGGATAGCTGATATGTGACCCCCAAAGGGGTTGTGACTCACAGATTGAGAACTGATATCCTGACACTTAAGTAAGCATGTGCTCTGGTCCTCAGGCACTGTGCAGCCCTGGGCTCACGTGAAGATGATTACACCTTACACTCTAACAAGTTAGATTTTAGTTTCTTAAAAAGAAAGAAAGAAAATCACTGTTAAGTTGGCCCTCAAAACAGGAAGTACCTATGACATCCAGACTAACACTCACGGCAGCTCCACAAATGGTCTCGCACCCCATTCTCAAAAGTCCACAGACAAAAGAGGGACCAAAGGGCAGTGACATCACGGTATGTGGAGGGGCACACTGTTGTACTGTGTGCTGTACAGGAGCAGCTTCCAATAGGCCTACTGCAAACCTCTCTGTGGAGTGGGTTTCCTCGGTGAGGAGTGGCTGACACTGGTGTGACAGCAACTCCTCCAGCTCACGCTCCTTAAAACAACTGCATGTGCTCAGCCTGGTTCCCGGTTCCACTGAGCGGCCCAGTCAGATTCCCCTCTGGCTCATGTGTCCCTTATCTCATCATTGGACCTGCAACTTGTGTCATTCAAGAATCTCCACAACCTAAGACAGTGGCCAGTCCGTCTGGTGCCTCTGTCTAGATGAGAGCTCTGAGGACTTTCCCAGAGCCTCAGGCTTGGACTCTGCTGCTGTGCAAATTTACAAAAGAAGCCCATTGTTAGGACACTGCAGGGAGCGGCAGCCTGATCTCACCTGCTCTTCTCTTCCTCATCAACCACGTTCCACCTTTGAGGGGAGGAGCTGCACTGCCATACACAGCAGTCCAGGGTCTGTCCACACCCCACACTAACCCCTGTTGGTGACTTCCACAAGTCTGCAGGGGCTTCCCATACCTCAGACCACCTCCTGCTTGTGATTCCCCCTTCTGAACCCATTGCAGCCAAATACCAACTGCCTCGGCCCCAGGGACCGCCCTCCCCCCCCCATACTCTCTGCCCCCAGCTCCTCATATTCAACCTCAGCTGCCAGCCCAGCTGATCAGCAGGCCCACTAAGCAAGCACAGAAGCCCAGAACTGCAATTGTCCTGACATCTGCTTGCCTCCACACCTCTGTCAAGGACAATCGGTGAACAAAGGAAACAGATTTTCTTATTTCCATCTCTAGATTCCAAATGCTGAGTCACACTTGCAAGTCTCTTGTTCTGCTCTAGTGTGTCCCCATTTAAAGAAGCTCTTTCCTCATGACATGTGGTCTAACCTCAAGCCAGGAGTCTACCTGGGACTCCAGGCCCATTCCATCCTCCCTCCCACTATTTGTGGCCTATACCCTGGCACATCATGCTCTAGGCCCCCACTGTGGCCATGTGCCTTCTCTGCCCAGGGAGAGTGTGAGTCCCACAAGGAAGAGAGCAGTAGGCTCTAATGTGGAGATGACCTGTCCCTCCATGGTCAGATGGGTACTGCCATCTTAGTAAGGGTTGGCACTGATGTTGGGCCATACTTACCAGGCTAGATGCTGTGACCTCACTGCAGGAAACCCCTTTGGGGCTGATCAGGAAGTGATCCTGCTCCTTGCTCACTCTCAGCTGCAAAGACAGATAAGAAACTCATGGACAAGCAGAGAGGGAGAAGGGATACTTCCTACGATACTGTTTAAATCCTCTTCTCCTTGAATTCACTGCACCAAAGTCTTCCTCTAGTGAACCCTCCTCCATAAAGAGATAAAGAGGTTTAGTCTTTCTTTAAACTGTGGAAATGGAGCTTCCAGAGGAATCTCACAAAAGTTAGGCGCAGCCCTGAATACAGGAGCTGGTTCCCATCCACAGAGGTAGCTCTGGGGCGGGTTGTCTCTGTTGACCATAGTGGTTAGCAATCTTGGAGGAGGTGAGTGGATTTAACCAAGGGCCACTAACAGTGCTTGGCCGTGCTAAGAGTCAGGAGTCTTCCCTTCAGGTTTTGTGGAAATAGGAGGACGGGGGAACGGGCACAGGGCACCTGGTCCTCACCGTGACATAGGTGTCGCTGAGCTGTGCCCAGCCGTAGAGGTCCAGGAGACGGTAGACACTGCTGATCTTGCACCGCATAAGCCTCTCCCCCTTGGCCAGGTTCAGGGAGTCGGCAGTGTGGAGGTCGTTGATGGGTGTCATCATGGAGAAGTCTGCAGGGATGGGAGGGGACAGTGCGTCTCCCTGAGGACAAGAGTCCCTACCAGCCAGCCTGTCCTTGTCCTGTGCCCCTCTAGATCTCACTGACTGATGCTACCATGGTACAAGAAACACCACCTGCCAGAGAATCAAATAGCCCTTGACTCACACCTAGAGGAAGAAAGGTTGTAGAGTGACTGTGTGTGACTTGCAAAGCCCCCTCTCTGTTCGATTGAGTGAGACTGGTGCTGCTCCTGGAGGAAAGCTCAGGTGGTTCAGCATGTGACCAGCATGCATTCATCTATAGGTTCAACCCTAGCGCTACATAAAGTCATGGTGGAGATGCACATATGTAATCTCAGCACTCACTTAGGAAGTAAAGGCAGGAGGACCACAAGTTCGGGGTTATTCTGGGCTACAGAGCAATTCTGAGACCAGCTTTGGCTACAGGAGACTGTCTCAAGGAAACAAAATAAAGCCATATCAAGGCTCAAAGCCATGAACAAAGAATTCTCAGAATACCAAGGTTGCCATAAACCCTAAAGAGGAGCATCAATCAGGTAAATGCTGAACGGTTTCTGAGGTAGGATGTGTGGAGGTGTCAGCGGTGCTGGGCAGAAGGCCTGCTGTCACTGTGTTTTGAGTGACCATGCAACAGAACTTACTCTGTGGCTTGGAATCAGGGCACATAGAAAGCCACATCAACCAGGGAGACATTTCTTCAATTTTTCCCCAAGTCATATTTGAGAGACACAGACACCAGAAGTCACGGCTGGCTGGAGAGCTAGAGTGTCTGGGGGCATGTGTCTGTTTCTGGTAGGACAGGCAGCCATGCAGTCGTGTGTCAATTTTCTCTAGGAATTTGAGAGAGAGTCTGAGAGATTTGGAAATGGGCCCCGGGGGGGGGGGGCTAACAATCTTGTCCCCAGGGCATCCCAGATGTCAGAGCTGATGGGCAGTCTGTTCCCTTAACCATGATATCAGTGCCTATGAGCTTCAGGGGAGCAAAGAAAAACATACAAGTTAAGGGCTAGAGAGAAGACGTCAGTAGTCAAGAGCATCTGTTATTCTTGCAGAGACTCAGCTCAGTTCCCAGAACCTATGTCAGAGGTATACATTTACACACACACACACACACACTCACACACTCACACACTCACACACACTCACACACTCACACACACTCAC